TAATTTACTGAATTTAATAGCCACATGACCGAGCTTTGGAAGTATAACAAAAATGCACATCTTCCCCATTACATAATATATTGGTGTCAGAGTTTGAAAACTTACATTTTAAATGCAATTTATTCCCGCCTATTATGGTGTTTTAAAAACAACTCACTTGTTATAGTACTTTAAGCAAGTTACTTGTTGACGTGCTAATTGCTTTTCATCACTGTGAGTTTGTTGTTATTATATGCCACCAAGTCGTTTTTAACTTATGGCAGCCCTATGACTGCTAAGACCTTGCATACTAAAAGCCATGGTTTCCTTCACTGATTTAATCCATCTTATGAAAGGCCACCCACTTTTCCTCCTCCCTTCCAATTTTCCTAGAATTATTGTCTTTTCTAGGAAGTCTTATCTTTGGATTGCTTAGAGAGAGAAAAAACAATCAAACTTACAAATGGAAAGAGAATAACACAAGCATTAGACAAAGCCCTATCAAAATGCCTCTTAAAATGCCTGGGAAATTTACCAGTAACTAGAAAATGTCCCTTATTACATGAATAGAATTATCCCCTTCTCACTTGCTGCACTACTTTTGAAATGTGGTTTTATTCTCAGCTGGTGCCCCTCCAGAAGCCAACTCTTTAAAGATATGGTACAATCTTAACTCAGGGTCCGTGTTAGGAATAGGCAGAAGCAGAAACCCCCTTATGCTGGGTATTAATCCCCTTCTGTGGGTTGACCTCAGAGATCTGCAGCAGAGGGACCTATTAGAAAACCACTCTGCTGCCTTAGATCTGCTGTCAGGTGAGCCAGAAAAGAGACAGAGTAGAGTAGACTTCCTGTGGCCCAAGAACATAGCCAAGTAGCCAGAATTGTTGGCACAATGTTAGATCCAAATGAGAGTATGCCAAATTTCTGCCACTCCTAGGCTGTGAAGGTTTTGAATTCAGAATAGCTTTTGCTGGCCTGGCTGCAGCTCAGCTGATCCTCACTCCTCTTATCTCGTTAGAATTTGGTTTGTAGCCACAATACTTTAGCTATTTGTTACTTCTAAACTCTGGCCAATCTTTTTCTTATTTAAAAACATTAGTATATTTTCCTTGCTAGGTGGTGGTGGTTGTTTTTTTGTCTGTTTTTAAGTTAATGAGATGCTCAAGAAATGGTTTACCATTGCCATCCCCCAGTGAATTTCCACAGCCAAGTGGGAATTTGAACCTCTGACACTCTACACCACCCTGGGTCTCAATTCATCATAGCTGTAGCTCATTCTTCAGAGCAGTCTGGGGCAAATGAGCTGCACACCAATATTGGAATAAGGAAGTGTTTTGTGCCTCTCCAAAGATTGGCCTCTGTAAAGTCCTCCAGCTGTTTCAGCTGCCACTGCCAACACATCTGCTTCTTTTCAGGGCTAGAGAGAATAGCATTCTCCTGCTGTCACAACCATCAACTTTCCCTCTCCTGATTGCAGTCAACCCTTGTTAGCCTTGGAATGTGAGTTGCCAGCGAAGGCTGGGAAATCCACAGCAAGCCAACAACACCCACTGTTCAGCCTCTTGAATGCCTTACTCTTAATCAGCCGGCCTGTTGATTTTCTGCAGCAAGCAAAGAATGAAGCCACAGCTAGAAGCCGAGGCCCTTCTGTCAAAGGTGTCTGCTCAGAAAATGGATAGTGTCCACTTAAAAAGTTCTAGACAGATGTTTTGAAGATGGGTGAAGGAGAGCATGAAAAGCGGCCTACTGTTGGGTAGATTTAGAATTGTCTCCTTCTAAAGTGTTCAGAGTTTTTCTTGTTTTAGTTCATTACTCACACTTTTAGCCTCTATCTTAGTGATTCTTAACTTGTGCTACTTCAGATTCTTTGGACTTCCTCTGCCAGAATTTCTGTTCCTTGGCCATGCTGACTAGGAGCTTCTGGCAGATAAAGCCGAACACACATGGAAAGCCAAAGGTTAAGAACCTATCCTTCTAGCAGGGAGTTGTACTAAGAGGTGGTACAATGTAGTGATAGGAGGGATAGAGTAGATTAGGGCTGGAGTGATCTGGGTTCAAACCTATGCTTAGCCCTGACTCTGAGCCAGTTGCTATTTTGTAGCCTAACCTGCTGAAAAAGGCAATTGTCACAAGAAGGGGAAATGAGTCATATATGCCAGTTTGAATTCCTTTGAGGAAACATAGGCTCATACAAAGGAAAGATAAGGGCAATGAGCTTGGCTGAGTTAGGGGGTTGGCAGCTTTCATCCTGCCACAGACTTCGGTGGCCCACTTATTTTTAAAAAAAGAAAAACAGTCCCAATAGCAGAAAGACGTGGATGGGAGGGAATGGCCAATTGCACCCCCTGAAGTTTTCTGAAAGGGAATATGACTAGCCATTTAAAGGCACTCTGTGCCCAAAACAGATTTCCTGAAAAATTAGAAGCGAGGATTGCTGTACTTTCTTGCTTAGTGCTGATTTTTTTTCCCCTTCAGTTACCTTATCCTGGTCCTAATATTTTTGATCTTCACAATTCTGCCTGGAGTGATGCCTCTTTCACCAAGTCTTTTCTATTAATGTTTTGCACCCACTCTGATCTGTGTGATCTTACTCACTCCTGGCATCCTTCTTTTTTCTCTGCTTCTGTAAATTACTTCATCGTTGCCTCCCTCTTCCTCTCCTCTCATGATTGTTAGATTGTAAGCTCCTTGGGGCAGAGGACTGGCTTTTTGACCTTATTCAGAAGAGTCCTAGGAATGTTATCATATTAGGTGAATAATGAATAACTTAAATAATATTTTAAATGCTTGATAACACATGTCTGGGCAGGTATCTATAACAAACTTGCTGTGGTAGAATGGTTTAGAGTATCAGATGGGGATTTGGATTTTATTATTTTTTCAGCTATGGCACTCCTTGTCAACCTTGGCTTGGTTGCTTTGATCTCTCTGTTTCAGCCTAATCAAGTTCATATGACTAGTTGTGATGCTAAAGTGGGAAGAAGGAGAGCTACATAAACTATTTTCAGCTAACTGGAGGAAAGGCAAAAGAGAGAAAGGCAGGTGTTCATGCTCTATGGATGGAGAGAGAGGACCTAAACTGCTTCCTTCTGCAGTTTGTCCAATTTTATAATAAGGATGTTTTAGTGAGATGTGTGGCTGACTCTGCCCTTCCCACCCACTAGCAGTCACCATTTCTTTTTCCTTCTTCGTTCCCATGACGCTTCTTTGCAGACATCCACGCATGCAGTGCACAATTTGTTCTTCTGTAGGGATTGGGGAAAAAACCCAGAGAAATTCAACTGTTGGATAGCTCAGTGGTATAGGTATTTGGCTGCAGAGGAAAAGGTTGGGAGTTTGTTTCCCCTCTGTGCCTCCTTGACACACACACACCTGTGTGTGTGTGTGCGTACGCGCATGCACGTGTGTGCACGTGTGCGCGTGTGTACGTGTGTGTGTGTGTGTGTGTGTGTGTGTGTGTGTGTGTGTTTCCCAGAGAGAGAAAGTTAAATTTCCAATGTGGGAACATGGGGTGGGACATTCCTCTTTTTTGTTATAATTGCTCTTTTGCATAGTGAAAATAACTTCATTGCATTCAACATGTGAGCAAGGCAATGCTTTGGGCCTGTTCGTAGGAACTCGGGAAGCTGCCTTAAATGGCTGGCTCATCCATACAAGGCAGCTTTGGGTTCATCTTTCTTAGCATTGCCACTGGTGGCAACTGTTTAAAGTTTTAGGCAGGATTTTTCCCTAGTCAGCTGGTTAAAGGCTAACCAGGCCAGACCCTGCTTAATTTTTAAAAGCAGATGAGATCAGATGTGGTCAGGGTTTTGTGGGGCCTCCTCCCTTCCCACTCCCCCGTGAGATGAATATCTCTTCTTAAAAGGGATTGTGTTGTTGATCCTACATTTGGAGATCAGTTCTGGTTAAATCATACAGGAGGGCCACCTTCACAGAAATCCAGTTCAGGCACAGTTGTCTTACTCGTTCCAACAAATATTATGGCTTCTCTCATTTTTTAAAAAAAAAAAACCCGTGTCATTGTTCAAGCGTTGTTGTAGGGATGATGAAATCAGATAGAAATAGGAAGGGAGGAGCTGAGGATTAAAGTGGAACATTTAGAATGAAGTTTGCAAGTTATCCTTAGGCAAACCTCTGTGTGTTATTATAAACTCCCAACAAAAGGATGGAAAACAGAAAACTAAGCCAAAAGTTCAGCTAGAGAAATTTCACCTCTTATTTTTCCTTCCCCCCCCCTTTTTTTATGTTTGAACATTTGAAAAACTTCAGTTAATGTTGGCCAGAATGGAAAATGTGAAAAAACTAAAACATCATCTATAAGAATTCCATTATTTATTAATGTAGAGATCTAAATTTTGGAAGCTAGTTAGTTTTGTATGAGATTTCAGCTAATATGAAACTATGATGCTAAACCGGACTGGCAGAATGTGGACTGTGGGCTGGATGCAGTCTCTAAGGCCACCCTGGAGGACCCTCAGTGAAAAAGAATTCCCCCTTTTTTCCAAAAGACTTATTTTCACACCTGGAGGTCCCAGGAAAAATGATGTTCAGTGTGGGGTCTTGGGAGACACCCAAGACCACCAAATTCAAAAACAAAAACACAGAAGAAGTGCCTTTTAGCACTTTTTTTTAGATTTAAAATGGCCACTTCAAGTCATTTCAAGGCCCAGTGAGGGACTGTGGGTAAAAGTGCAAGTCAGAATCATGTTTAATGCCAGTGGAGCATAACACTGTGTTGTTGTAGGTCTACTTGATCTCTGCTGCACAAGTGCAGACCATAGAGAGTGGCTGTTTGCACCAACAAATTCCTGCTTGTGTAAGGTATTACTGGATATCTCTTTATGTACACTCTTCAATTCTCAAACTGCTCAGATGACAGGCAGTTCCACAAACAGAACAAGGATGAAGGATTCCGCATGTAGCTTTTTCTCGTAAAATTCGATGAACTAGTTGTTTGTTTGTTCATATTTTTCAAACATTTCCTCAAATGTTTGCACATTTTGTTTTCATGTCTGCTTTAGCTCTGGAACAACTGCTGACAGAACTAGAAGATTTTCTGAAGATATTGGATAAAGAGAACCTTAGCAGCACGGCTGTAGTGAAAAAGAGCTTTCTTGCTGACCTCCTTCGCCTGTGCACAAAATCAAGCGGTAAGCACATCCATGAATGGGAACATTAATTTCAGAAGAACTGACCATGCTTCAGGTATACTGCTTGAGGCAGCAGGTTATAGATACTACCATTGACCCTATGTCTTTTAAATTCTATCTTTGGTGTCCCAAACTGCAAGTTCTTGATTAGGCTGGAGAACAGCTTATTTACTGGGTTGCAAACCCTTGTGGACTAGGGCCTGTTTTGTAAGATGTTTGTCTCAGGTTAGCATGGGTATGTGTGCAGCATGCAGATACAACCCCAGGTTGTATAATGACGGTACTGTATGGGGTAGTCATTATGATTTTAGACTTCAGTTTTTGAGATCCTGGCTCTAGTTTCCAATGAGTCAGAAAACTCACTAGGCAAATTAGACTAGTCACTCTTTCAGTCTAATGTGCTTCCCTTGGTTGTCATGGGCAAAAGGTGGAGAGAGTTTTGCCTTGAGCTCACTGGAGGAGGAAAGCCAAGAGAGGGCTGAAACAAATAAACACTCCTTGAAATCTAGTGTTAAGTAGTTGTTTTTCCAAAGTGCTATGCAGAGTCCAAATGTATACAATACGAGAGTTGAGAAAACCCATGAATCAAAGCAGTTGCATTTCTGAGATCCAGTATGATTAGAGTGTTCAGTTATGACTTAGGAAACCCAAGTTCAAATCTTTGTTCATCCATAAAACTTTCTGGGTGATCTTGGGCTGCCTGCAGCCTCTCAGTCAGACTCCCCTCACAGGCTTGTTGTGAGGATAAAGTGGGTAGCAGGAGAGCCCTGTACACAACCTTCAGCTCACTGGAGGGAAGGCAGGATATGAAGGCTTCTTTATTTATTTCTCACAGGGAAAAAGAAAGGAAGGAAGGAAGGAACTGTTCTGGTCCTCAAGCTGTTTTTATTCATGGAGATTACCTGAATCCTATGACGGTCAATAACAACAAACCTTGCAAGGGTGTAGCCACTAAAACCAGTGAACTAGGGACCATTGCTCAAGCGTGTAGCACCACTGTGCTAGATGAGCTCTGCAAGAGCAAAGGTGGGTAGGAAGCTCCTGATAGGGGTATTCGTACAGTGGTGCCTCGCATAGCGATGTTAATTGGTTCCAAAAAAAACATCGCTATGTGAAACCATCGCTATGCGAAACACCATTTCCCATAGGAATGCATTGGAAACCGGTTAATCCATTCCAATTGGAACGGATTGCCGTCGTTAAGCGAAAAAACCCATAGGAAACATCGCTAAGCGAAACAATGTATCCTCCATTGGAATGTATTGAAGCTGACTCAATACATTTTAATGGCTTTGCGAAGTCAATTTTTGCAATTTTAAATGTGTCATACAAGGGTCAAAAATGGTTTTAAATGCTTGGATTAGCTTCTGCACCCTCTAAAACGGATGCAAAAGTTAATTTGGCTTTGATCTGACTTTTCATTAATTTATGGTGAATTTTTTTCCCCCAACTTTTGACAGCTGTCAAAATCTGACAGCTCCATTATTTCCTATGGGGGAAGAAAAAATTCACAAAAAATTAATGAAGACTCAGCAACTGTTCTAAATTCTTGGGTTCGTTAGAGGACCCCCTAAGTTGTGTGCAAACCTGATTTGGCTTTGATCTGAACTTTCGTTAATTTTTTGTAAATTGTTTTCTCCCCCATAGGAAAGCATGGAGCTGTCAGATTTTGACAGGTCCATTGGTTCCTATGGGCCAAAAAAAAGAATTCACAAAAAATTAATGAAAACTCAGATCAAAGCCAAATCAGGTTTGCACATGACTTAAGGGGTCCTCTAACGAATCCAAGCATTTAGAACCATTTTTGACCCTTCTAAGACACTTTTTAATTGGAAAAAAAAATTGTTAAGTGAAGCAGGGGACCTAAAATCGCATTCGTTATGCGAAGCATGGTCCCAAACTTCGCTAAGCGAAAATCGCCCATAGGAAACATCGTTATGCAATGCATATTATTTTCTAAAAAAACACATCGTTATGCAAATTCATCGCTAAATGAGGCAATCGTTAAGCGAGGCACCACTGTATTTGTATATTAATACGAATACCCCCTACAGGTGGAGATAATGAGGGTCCGGCCCCATGGGGCTGGACTGCCCACTCACGATTCTGCCGCTGACATGAGCTCGACGGAGCCTTCCTGTCGCTCTGTTGTCCGCAATGGATTAGCCACTCTGTGACCTGACAGAGAGGCTCGTCATCCCGCCTTCTGCCAGGACTGGCTAATCTATTGTGGACAACGAATACCCCCATCTCCATCTCTGCTCCTGATCTGTTAGTCCTAAGCATGATGCAGAGAAACAGAAAATAGCTGTGAACAGATATTCTTTTATGTTCAAGTTTAAAAATGCTCTGCATTCACACAATGTATTATGAATATGTGCAAATGAATAAGACATTTACGTTGCATTCTTTGTAGGTGGTGATGAGGAATACATTTACATGAACAAAGTCACCATCAGTAAACAACATGGTGAGTTAGAGAAAGCAGACAAAGGTAGGAATTTATATCTTTCTGGCATGCCAGTTAATTATTCAGTTGAGGGAGGACAAAGGCACATGGAAATTAATTGTGCTCCATTTACATACTATATTTGACAACAATTATTTAGACAGAGCTGAAGAAGGCACCACATTTTCTGCATATATTACTCCAGTCTTTCCCTTTGTATTTCATCAATATTTATTAAGGCTATTAACTCTTAGAAAATATAAAAATAATATTGAACAAAATAAGATATTACTGACTGATGGAAAGAAGACATGTATGTTTTCACAGTTACAGAGTCCCACTAGTTTTTTGCCCCCACCCCCCCGAATACAGAATATCTTGTCTGGAAGAGTATCAAGGTGGTTTAGGAATACAAGCTATCACTATTCATAAGGATTATAAGCATCGCCAGGTCTGGCCACGTTTTTTTGAGAGATTTTCCACATTGTTCAAGAAAGCAGTGTATTAAATATTCCTGTGCAGATTGCAAATGATATATCAAATGTTAGCATTGGCCACTTTGTGGTGAAATTTCCAAAATGCATAAAGGTACAACTGCATAATGTAAAAGCTAACCGAGTGGCAATCCAAATGTTTTTTGCTACAAATCCCATCATCCCTGTCTATTGGCTATGCTGCTTAGGGAAGATGGAGCTTGTCATCCAGCCACATCTGGAGAGGCACACATTTCCCAACCTTGTAATACTGCTTTTAGTTTTATATACAGTATATATAATGGTGGATTTTCACATACATGAAATGCTGATAACCATAACTGTCTCATATTAAACATCAATGATTAAGAATAGCTTTTCTGCATTGAGGAGCTTACTTCTTAGTATGAATTATGTTGCTTTATGTGTTTCATGGGTCCTGGCTGGGTATGATTAAAACAATCACAACAATGATTGCCACTATCCATCTTCTTGTCCTCTCACTGTATGGTATAAAGTCCACATGTCCACCCCGGACAAGGGACGTCCTCTCCTGCACATCTCCAAAATAGTTTTCTTTCAAAAAGAATTTTCAATACATGAAAATGCCTTCTCATGGCTCTAGTGGCCAATTTTTAAAATTTGTGTTAAAAACCTAAGGAGTGGGGGAGCAGGAGTGCTGGAAGGGGTCGAAATGTGGCAGAATTGCCTCTCACACCCTCTATAGTGCACAAGGAGATTTAAAAAGAATATTAATACCGGGATGGTCTCAGGGGATCTGGGAGGCCCAAGGGGTACTGAGAGGCCTCATGAAGCTCACAGGCCACACTTTGCCCACACTGGTTTAGACAGACTAGCGCAAGACATGGTGCTGCCCTGAGATGAGAAATATTTTGTCTTTTTTGTTTGTTTGTTTGTTTGTTTGTTTGTTTCAGCTGCTTCTGGTCAGCTGGCTAGATTATTTTGGATGACGTTATCCTAAATGTAATGATTCCCATCTCTGGTTCTGCCACCACAGTTGCTGCATAATTAAGATACACGGAAGCAAACACCAGGAAATCTGAGAAGCCGTGGGAAGGATGAAAGATGTCTAATTTCTTTAACTAATAACATTACTGGCCATTCTGGATTTTGTTTTGCTGCTTCTGCTCATACAGCCAGAACTTGTTACAGGATGTGAATGCAGAGCTGTTATTGTGGCTTCCCAGATACAGCCTGTAAAGCTCTGTGGTTCTAACTTTTATTTTTAAATCATACAAATACGCAGCAAAGTTCATGCCAGATTCTTCCCAATGCCATTTCAGGCTATGGAAACTTAATATACCTTTATTTTCAGTTGCTTGGAGTTAGCTTTGGGGTGCTTAGTAAGCAGTCACCAATAAGCAAAAACACACACTGCATCTTATTTGAAGATTGTGAGCTTCATTGGTTTGCCTCTCATGATATATGTTTCAAAGCCCCTTGGGTCCATTCAGAAATCCATTCAGAAATGCTAGGCTTATCTTTAGGAGAATAATTATTTTCCCTTAAGGTTATAGCCTTTATGTGATAAATCTCTAAGCAACAACTGTGTGGTTTAAAGGAGTTAGCATATGTTTAGAAGTCATCTGTTTTTATTCATAGTCAGTCCCTAAAGAATAGGGTAGTTACTTCCCTTTACTTTCAGTATAACCAAAGCTGTTGGTCATCTTCATTTCCTTCTTAGATCATGAAAGTTGTGTAGAACCCAGAATTATGGTGTCTGCAAAGTCATACAAACTAGATGAAAAATCAATTGGAAATCAATTTTACATAACTGCTGAAACTTTTCCTCAATCTGAAATCTGGTTGTTTGAATTGGGAAGAAATCGGATTTGTTACAACCAAGTTTAAATCACCTTCAACAATAATGACAAGATAAATACTTAACTGCTTGATATAGACATAGAACTTGTGTTGCAAGTAGACAGATTATTTTTAAGATACCTTGGCCTTTTCTGACTCAGGTGAAAGCATGCCAATAAACCCACAACTAGCAAGAGAATGTCGTCTTGTCTGTATTGCTTCCTTCACCGTATCCTTGCAGGTAGTATCAGATGACATTTTTGTGGTCTCAGACATCCCCTGTAATTGATGCTATACTCCAGCCAAACAAAAAACATAGCTTCTAAGAATGTTACAGAGAGCACTCTAAGTAATGGACTACTGGCATGTTGTTTTTTCTGCTTGGTCTGCAACATAAGGTCCCAAAGATGCCTTGACCAATGGGGAAGTGGAACAGCACTTGTCTCCTCCTCAGAAGAGTCTGCCAGACCTTCCTCCTTCAAAAATTGTAAGTCATTGCTGGTTCCTTTTCGTCTTTTGCACCTGTGCTGTGAAACAATATTACAAGCTGTAGGGGGTGTTCTGTGATAGAATGTAGTGCCTGTCAACGCAGGCTGCAAAATTCCAAATATTAAACATTTAAGAGAGGTAGTAGTGTTCTAGGCATAAGCAGCTGTACCTACTGCAAGTATTTCTGTGACCACACACCAAAGTTGATGATCAGGATCCTGTTCATTGCTGAAGCCATTTGATATTTTTCTTACTCCCAGTCCTGGCTGGGTATGATTAAAACAATCACAACAATGATTGCCACTATCCATCTTCTTGTCCTCTCACTGTATGGTATAAAGTCCACATGTCCACCCCGGACAAGGGACGTCCTCTCCTGCACATCTCCAAAATAGTTTTCTTTCAAAAAGAATTTTCAATACATGAAAATGCCTTCTCATGGCTCTAGTGGCCAATTTTTAAAATTTGTGTTAAAAACCTAAGGAGTGGGGGAGCAGGAGTGCTGGAAGGGGTCGAAATGTGGCAGAATTGCCTCTCACACCCTCTATAGTGCACAAGGAGATTTAAAAAGAATATTAATACCGGGATGGTCTCAGGGGATCTGGGAGGCCCAAGGGGTACTGAGAGGCCTCATGAAGCTCACAGGCCACACTTTGCCCACACTGGTTTAGACAGACTAGCGCAAGACATGGTGCTGCCCTGAGATGAGAAATATTTTGTCTTTTTTGTTTGTTTGTTTGTTTGTTTGTTTGTTTCAGCTGCTTCTGGTCAGCTGGCTAGATTATTTTGGATGACGTTATCCTAAATGTAATGATTCCCATCTCTGGTTCTGCCACCACAGTTGCTGCATAATTAAGATACACGGAAGCAAACACCAGGAAATCTGAGAAGCCGTGGGAAGGATGAAAGATGTCTAATTTCTTTAACTAATAACATTACTGGCCATTCTGGATTTTGTTTTGCTGCTTCTGCTCATACAGCCAGAACTTGTTACAGGATGTGAATGCAGAGCTGTTATTGTGGCTTCCCAGATACAGCCTGTAAAGCTCTGTGGTTCTAACTTTTATTTTTAAATCATACAAATACGCAGCAAAGTTCATGCCAGATTCTTCCCAATGCCATTTCAGGCTATGGAAACTTAATATACCTTTATTTTCAGTTGCTTGGAGTTAGCTTTGGGGTGCTTAGTAAGCAGTCACCAATAAGCAAAAACACACACTGCATCTTATTTGAAGATTGTGAGCTTCATTGGTTTGCCTCTCATGATATATGTTTCAAAGCCCCTTGGGTCCATTCAGAAATCCATTCAGAAATGCTAGGCTTATCTTTAGGAGAATAATTATTTTCCCTTAAGGTTATAGCCTTTATGTGATAAATCTCTAAGCAACAACTGTGTGGTTTAAAGGAGTTAGCATATGTTTAGAAGTCATCTGTTTTTATTCATAGTCAGTCCCTAAAGAATAGGGTAGTTACTTCCCTTTACTTTCAGTATAACCAAAGCTGTTGGTCATCTTCATTTCCTTCTTAGATCATGAAAGTTGTGTAGAACCCAGAATTATGGTGTCTGCAAAGTCATACAAACTAGATGAAAAATCAATTGGAAATCAATTTTACATAACTGCTGAAACTTTTCCTCAATCTGAAATCTGGTTGTTTGAATTGGGAAGAAATCGGATTTGTTACAACCAAGTTTAAATCACCTTCAACAATAATGACAAGATAAATACTTAACTGCTTGATATAGACATAGAACTTGTGTTGCAAGTAGACAGATTATTTTTAAGATACCTTGGCCTTTTCTGACTCAGGTGAAAGCATGCCAATAAACCCACAACTAGCAAGAGAATGTCTTCTTGTCTGTATTGCTTCCTTCACCGTATCCTTGCAGGTAGTATCAGATGACATTTTTGTGGTCTCAGACATCCCCTGTAATTGATGCTATACTCCAGCCAAACAAAAAACATAGCTTCTAAGAATGTTACAGAGAGCACTCTAAGTAATGGACTACTGGCATGTTGTTTTTTCTGCTTGGTCTGCAACATAAGGTCCCAAAGATGCCTTGACCAATGGGGAAGTGGAACAGCACTTGTCTCCTCCTCAGAAGAGTCTGCCAGACCTTCCTCCTTCAAAAATTGTAAGTCATTGCTGGTTCCTTTTCGTCTTTTGCACCTGTGCTGTGAAACAATATTACAAGCTGTAGGGGGTGTTCTGTGATAGAATGTAGTGCCTGTCAACGCAGGCTGCAAAATTCCAAATATTAAACATTTAAGAGAGGTAGTAGTGTTCTAGGCATAAGCAGCTGTACCTACTGCAAGTATTTCTGTGACCACACACCAAAGTTGATGATCAGGATCCTGTTCATTGCTGAAGCCATTTGATATTTTTCTTACTCCCACAATGAAGCGTGTAGTAACTCTCTGCACAAGTAGAGGTTGACCTCTTGCAGAAGCAATTTACATGCATGCAAGAAGGGAAACCAGCCTTCCTGCAGTGGTGGAACATTCTTCTCTGGCAGCTCACAGCAAGATCTTGATCACCATTATTTGTTTCTCTACTTACCTTGCCTCATTTTCAGTTATTGTATGATGTGTGGCTTCATTTTAGACTGCAAACCAACACAGAGAGCTGGTTTCACATTCTGATCTGGAATCCTGGTTTATAGTCTTCAGATGAAGCCATAGTGCTCTGGCTCAGTGTAACAGGAAACTGCGGTTTAAGAAACCCTGGAAGTCTGTGATTGTTGTGTGAGAAAGAGAGGAGGAGGAGGAGGGAGGGAGTGTCCCGCTGTGGTACTTGTTCTTGCCTGAACTGGGCCTTTGTCTTTCGTTTGTGTTTGTTAGGCAATATGCATAAAAATATTTACTTTATGTGCACAAAAATTATTCCTGAATGAATTAGTAATAACTGATACTATGATGTTCAGATTTTGTTGTTGTTGCTTTGTATAACCCTGGATAGCAACATTCAATCAACAGAATTATTGCAAACTGTTTATTTACATTTGTTTTCCATTTTGTGAAACCAATTTTTCTAAGGCATTTTCCCTCACAAGAAAACTCCTTTTATGTTTAAGTACAAGGAAAGTAGGTCTTATCATTTAGTTATTAGATATAGGCTTAGGAATTTCACATGTAAGGAACACTATGCTAAAAATGGTTAAATATTAGAAAAAATATGTATGGGTTTGTGTGTATGCGTAATGTGGGAGGAGGTGAAGGCCTGTGGGTGGTCTACTGAGGAAATGGCTGTGTGAATTATAGTTGAAGGGTGATCTGAGGGATTATTCCTGTGAAATAATACTACAGAGATCTTAATGGAAGGGTGTTCCTTCAGGATGGCTGGGAAAAGGAAGTCTGAGTTGAACCAGGTCTTTAAGATGCACTAAACTGTTCTGGTTTTAATGAATACATTCCGTTGCCCAAGGAGGTTTTGGCTGCTTATAATTGATTATATTTTATTTATTTATTTTTGGTGGAAGCCTTATGCTGAGAAAATTCCCTCACACACTTCACTTAAATCAGTTCTCTCTTGTTTCTGCATAAATCTTAGACTTGTAAGCACAAGTAAAAAATCACATTTAAATACAGGTTTAAATGAAGTTTTTATGCGTTATCTTCCTGAGTATAGACAGAACTTCCTTGCTGACAGCCTTGAATTGTTCATAGGTCAGTGAAGTCAAGTTCTAACATGCTACAGCTGAAATGATAAAAATTGGTGGACTGTGTCAAATCATATTGCTGGAAAGGGAATCACGTGCCTCTGTGTATTTCTAACTATATTCTCTCTCTCTCTCTCTCTCTCTCTCTCTCTGTTGATACATTCTTTGAGTTGGAAATTGTGTTACAACACCCAAAACATGAATACTGTATAGTGAGGGGAAAATAAGTTCAAGTTTACATGTTAGTTCAAAAGTTTGTGCTTGGGATCAGTAAGTTTATATTGAACAGCACAGATGTTCTACAAGAGCTCAGTGCAAATCCAGCAAATGCAACAGCAGCAGCAACAGATGAATGGCAAATGCTGTGATTCAGCTGTAACTGGTGGGGTACAGCTCTCAGTAGGTTCCTGGACATCCAGTTTGGCCCCACGGTTTCAGCAAGTTACCAATCCATGCTGTAGGGAAACAAGGTGAACCATATATCTATAGGCAAGTTCATTTGTTTACTTGTGAATATTTATCACTTTGTGTTGCAACACTGAGCAATGCTCTCTCTCTCTCTCTCTCTCTCTCTCTCTCTCTCTGTGTGTGTGTGTGTGTGTGTGTGTCTGTGTGTGTGTCTGTGTCTGTGTGTGTGTGTGTGAGAGAGAGAGAGAGAGAGATCAATGTTCTTTTCATGTTGAGCTTGGAAGTATTGCATGCTAAATCACAGAGTGATGAGATATCAAGCAGTTCGTAATCATGTAAATTGTAGCTGCTTAGTCACAACTTCAGTTGCACACTTTTTCACCTCAGCCAGCTACTACCATGCTGGCTGGATGATCTTGAGAGTTACAGTCTGAAAATGTAACTCTTCCAAGTGCCAGATTATTCATAGAAGTAAAGACTCTGTTTTCTTTGGCATATCAAGGAGAAGGCTAGACTATTAATACATTTCATTGTGATAAGTAGATTTCTGAGCAAGTATAAACCAGAGACCAATTTTTTAAAATGTGTCATTCTCTTTCCTGTAACATGAAACAGCCGTTTCAGTTATTACTTACTAGGTTACTTCAAACATTCTTATCCGGGAGCTGCTACTAGTCAGCACTTTTTCCATTGAAAGACAATATACTATCTGCAGAGAAGTTGTTCCTGTTTTTATGTAGGTTCTCCCCATAAGCAATAGCAAGGTTCTTGTTCCCCTAGAATGGAGATTGGAACCTCTCCCCTGCAGACATGCCATTTTCTATGTGCAGAAAGCAGCACAAAGAAGGGAGGGACCAGGTGCTCCCTTCTGAACATGTTGGATAGATCTGGGTAAGTACTGTAACAGTTGAACTGTAATCAGACAACTACCTCAACTGAAGTTTGTTAGAGGTTGACTCCATGGTCCACAAATGTTCAAAGGCAGCCAGAAAGACACTTTGCTTGAGCTCCACAGATCTCCTTGTTCATGGCCCTAATTCCTTTTCTTCATACAGGCAAAAAATTACACACTCTCTTTGAGGGTGAATAAATTAAATCATAAGAAAGGCAATTACTATGACTAGAAGGTGCTCAGATTTTAATTTGAAAGATAACTTAATCTGCACTGTTTATATACCAAGGTGAGCAACTACTACATATCTAATGGCTACACGTAACCTGTGCAGACCTCAGAGGGCCACCACATATCCCCCCCCCAACATCCCAGCCAAAAGGTTTGACCAAAAAAACCCTGTCCTTATATAATCTAGGAGTTATTGGAGTAACTTGCCTTGGATGTGTTTTAGACTTCAAGGGGTCTTTTTAAAAAACTTTGAAGTAATTGTTTTGAATTTTTAAAAAGCACATACACACACCTTGGAGCATGAAAGGATTTTAAAAATAAGAATCGTAAGAAATAGGATATGGCTGTTGGGGGGTTCAGGGTGCCCTGGGCTACACTGGAGGCCTGTGACAGCTTCATGTAGTGCACAATTTGACTACCCCTGGTATACTGTATACTGGCATGTTGACGTTACTTATTCCTGTAAACACAGCTATATGTAAAAAGCACCAAGTAGTAGAGGGAATAGGGTGAGAAAGATGGCAATGTAAATTAGCAGTCTTGTTCTTTCTATATTACAAGGCTGATGAAGTGCTTGTTTAAGTTTATCATGAGGCAGAAAAGTGTAATCCTCCAACTTAAAATATATATTTAAAATGCCATGTTTTTTTAAGGGGGGGGCGAACAATAAAAGGAGTTTTGAACTTGTTGAGGGATGAAATGACCGTACCACCTAATCCCATCTGGTTTCCATTGTTAGAGGGAAACAATGCAAAACAGCCATTTTCTCCTTCCCCCTTCCTAAACTTTATCACTGTACAGCTAGATCCAATAATAATTTGTTTCATGATTGAACATAGGTAGCTACCAAATGTATTTATTGATTTAATCTTTCAGGGATTTTCCAGTAGCTGGAAACCTTTGAAAGTATTGTTTTACTTCATATTGTTTAGCTACTTCCTTTTTATTATATTGATTTTGAAGATTTCTGGTGTGTTTTCAACTTGGTTCTGAACCCCTCCTCCTTCTAGTATGTTTAATTGAGGAAACTCAAGCACAATTGTACAACTACAAGATAAATTTCAAAACAAAAAATAAGGGATTGTTCTGCTGTGCCTCCTGTGCAGATGCAGCTCATATTGTAGTTAAAGTATTCCTAAGTGGTGACTTGTAAGCAACACTGTTTTGTGCAAAGCCAAATATGGGCCTAAACATCAAACAAAAGATCAAAGTTTTCTTGTTGTTTTAATATTCTGGTTTTGTGATCCAGCCTCTTTTTAGAGAGTTCTGAATGGAATATTTAGTATTCTTAGGTCTGAGTTATCCTAAATTCTACAAGTTGAGTTTTCAAGAAATGTTAGAATGCAACAATGATTTGATTATTTTTTTATATGCCTCAGTTTTACCATGATGAAAATTAGCAGGCAGAACTAATGCCCCTCTTGTCGTTGTTTTCTGATGGGATTCTGTATCTTTAATATGTATTAATCCCATAACAAAGTTCTTATCACTGCATTCACATGCTGGCAGAAACTAATCCAGTTTATCTTTACTCATCATGCAGTTTACATACAATGCAATCCTGTTCATATCTATTCACATGTAAGCCCTGCTGAATTCATGAGAGCTTACTGCAAGGTGAATGAACACATGATTGTAGAGAAGCCCTACCAGGGGAAAAAGGGGGGAAGTTTTTCTGTTACAACTTTTTGTAACTAAGTCTGTGTTGTGCTACATGGTTCCCACTGAAATCGGCTCATGGAAAGAGAAAAGTATTTTGATTTGGATTTAGAGATCCGAAGTGTTGTGATCATCCTGGGTATCATTGCCCCCCCACCCTGGAATGATGATGCGAGACAAGTATTATGGGATAAACATGGGCCACACTTTATTGAATGTTTATTATTGCCCACCTTAAAAAGGGGGGGGTCCTGCCATAGTGCAGAATCAGGTTTTGCACAGGGGTCTCAACGGACCCCTTACCATGAAGACAACGAGAGTCAGGCCAGCCCAAATTTGACAAACGCCCTGAGGTCTCGCGGTTGTGAAGACAGCAAGAGCCCGGCCAACCCAAATTTGACGACCCCCCCCCAGACCTCGAGCCACCTTCCCCTTGGTGACTGTTGGTCCAGCAGCAGAGCCGGCATTCTGCATTGCAGCTGGGCCATTCTCTAGTGACACTGTGTTGAACGCTTGTTATGTATGTTTTCCTGGTAGACGTTTTATCATCTTCATATACGTCTTTACAGAAGAATGTTTCTTTGTTTTTAATTGTAGATATTCTCTTGGCAGTTCATTTTGCAAGTTCCTCTCCTTTTTCTTTGGCTCTTTATCTGCAGATTTCATGGAGTGTGTTTGTATTCCACAGATGCCAGAAACAAAGCCACTTTCAGGATCCAAAATGGAATCACCAGAAGGATATTATGAGGAAGCTGAGCCTTATGGCATTTCTGTTAATGGTATGTGACAGTGTGCTTCCTGTGCATAGTTGCTGTTTTTAACCTGAGTGTTACAGAGAGTTCCATATTTAAGACATACGTTTTGCTTTTGTCATACTAGCAATCAAACATCAAAGCTTATATTAAATTAATGTGTTAAACTCAGTTGTAGCTGGTAATGTCACTAATACTACATTTTCAGTCAGAGTATTGTTGTGAGGAGAAACTGTGCAAGGGCACCAGAGGTGGGACTTTCCCAAAACTAGCTGGTTTCTTTCCTTTCAGTAGAGAATGTGTTGCTGACATTTGGAGAAGAGAAATTATACATTTATGTATTTCATATCCTAATCTTTCTCACCAAAATTCAGGGAAGGTTAAGAACCTGTATAAAACACGGTACAACATATTAGAGTTATGTTTGAACTCAGAGCCAGAAATTGTTAGGAAGGGGCATGGAAATACAATCATGCAAGCACTGTTAGGTGTTTTGCTGGTTGTCTCTTGTGTGCTCGGCTGTACCCTGGCTGAGCAGTAGATCACATAGCCAGGCGCACAATAGACATTGCTGTTCTGCATGAAATAGCATTCTGGTTGCAATTCTGAAATCACAGAAACAAACTAAAGTGCAATAAAGTGTCCACAAAAATAGTCAAATAAATGCATAAAGGCATCTGCCTATGCTATAATATAAATTATAATATAAAAATTATCTTTGAAGTGGGAGGCTATAGGTTAAATACGATGTTAGTTTTATTTGATGTTAGGCCTCATGACCCAAATAGGGCATTTTATGCCCAGTTATATTAAGTCTTGTTGATGTCAGTGGTCTAACCCAGGTAAAACTAATATTGGATTTAGCTCTGTATGTGTCATTTGAGGGTTTTTTTAAAGTCAGAAAAATGCCTGATATATTTATTATCTTTTCTTTTTACTTGGAAACATCTACATTTTTCAGAAGGCCCTATTCCTTAAATAGGCATCTCCACTCTGGAAATGAAATCGTAAGACATCCACTATGTGGATAACGAATCTCCCTTAAAGATATAGCAACTGGCAGTCTGCATTCTTTTTCTGCATAGCAGGTTCAAGGAAGTCCTATTCTTTGTTTTACCGCTGCCAATAGGTCTAAATTGCTTTCTGACATGCACTCACCTGCCAAAGTGAGGCAGTCTGTGGTGTTCTCTGGAACATGCCAGGAGTCATATTGGATGGGTGGGCATTTGGCAAAGGAGATGATGCTACTTTATTTTTCTCAAACAACATAACGTGCATAATTGCCCAATTTAAGTGTGACAGCATGCAGAAATGTTTGGAAAGCTCAGTTGGGATTATTATTCAATTAAAATGTGACTGAGAGCAATAGATAACCTTGCTATGTTCCTGAGTTATATTCTATTCTAGGCCCAATTTTCGCTAGATAACAGCTGTGATGTAGGGTGATATGCATCTCCTGGCATTCTTACAAATGCTTAGTCCATGTCTAGAATTATGGGCTATTTACTATCTGTCTTAATAAGTATTTGGATATACAATTGATATGCTGAACCAGCTTAGTTTGTGTACATCAGCAAAATTACTTAATAGTACCCATGATGGACATGTCTGTAGGCGCGATTACATCAAGCAGATACCTTAGTGTTGAAAAGAATAGAAGGGAGCTGAGGTTCTCAGACTACAATCAAAAACATATTTGCTCTTTGAGAAACTGAGAAATTTTGCTTCTGAGTAAAACTTAGGTAAAGACTGTGTGGCTATCTGTTCTAAACCCATACACCTTTCTGGGTTTTTTTCCAGCTCAGCCAGAGAATTACAGTATTGTATGTCCAAAGTCTACTGATAGCCTGTTTTTAATAAGGATACATTTCCACTGTGGTATGGAATGTAAGACAGAAGGATTTTTCGCAACTCTAAAAAATAGGGTTTAAAAAATAGAGAGTGTATCTGGGGAACCAATTCTTATTTTTATAACCCCCAACACGTTAGTGGCCAATATATATCCTTGTGTTGCCTATAAAAATGTCCTTCACTCCCTGCTCTAGAGGGAAAATAACTGAAAGGCAAAAACAAAAAACCCAGACTGATCACAGAACAGTAGAGAACTGAGTTGTAATGAGGGGGACTGAATTAATAATAATTGTTTAAGTGGGCATCCAGCTCCTTTATTACAAACATGGAAGCCGCTTCTGTTGGTGAAATTTGAAAGGGTGCAATAGCTGCTCCCTCCAGACACACATT